CTCCCCTTTTGTGTATCGAGCCATCGAACCTACGAACATTCACGAACTTTGCCGAGCTCGAAGCGCGCGGATTATAGTCGTCATTTAAATTGCAAATTACGTTTTTTTTATATATATATATTTTTTTTATGTTTTTTTTTATTCTTTTATAGTAATTATCTATAATACTTTGATTTCTTTTTTTTCTCTTGACGTTCATATTATATGAATTATGATCAGCTGATATTAATGATAGAAATATACAGAGTTAATAAGTTATTAAAAAACAAAGGAATAATTAACCAAAAGATTGTTTTATCTCAAATATAATAATTTTAAAAAACTAAATAAATTAACTTTAATACTTCAATATTATAAAATTTAAAAAAAGACTTTGTATTAAACTTTTAATACAAGAGATCGAAGTTCTGAAATATTGATCAAACTACAAGGAAAATTGAAAGGTCGACATTACTTTAATTCGTGTAAGTAGTTATTGAATTTTAATTATGGAAAACTTGCGAAAGGAAATGATAGAAAAAATAATAATTATGTGCTTGGAACAAAACGTAAGCACAACTGAGGATTTTGTTTCTTTTTTGGTATGTATCTTTTATGAAAAACTTTAATTTTGAATTAACCTAAATAATTATTTAATGTTAATTTTTGATGCAAAATATTATTTTCTACATATATCTATTTCACAGATTACTTTATTTCTTTTAAATCCTATATATAAAATGGATGACGAGAAAAATATTGAGAATCTCATTAAAGATATAGTTGAAAAAATATGTGATGAAAAAAAAATAAGTTTAACAATATTAAAAATTCAATTATATTTTGCAAAACACTATCATGCTAGAGGTGAAAATCTATTTAAATGTATTTAATATTCGAAATAATAATTATAAATAATAATTACATAATCAAATATGTTTTCTATCCCTAGATGAAGTCGTTAAACGATACAGATTGCGATTGCATCAAAAAAGTGGACCATTAGTTGCGGAAATTTGTAAAACTGAAAAAATTGCAAATAAACAGGAATTTGAAAAATTGTATCAAAAGATATTGACGGTCATCACTATTTTAAGTGGTCTTGGAAATCCTACTGTAATTGGAGTAATTCAGTAATAATGCTAAATTTATAAATATTACATTGCTATTATATTTTTTATATCATTTTTATTAATGGGAAATAAAATTTATTACTTCAGAGAAGTTTCAACAACATTGAGAAGTATTTTTCAACCTTTGGAATTGGAACACTATGTAAAGATGTCTAAACGTGAGAAGGAAGAACAGCTAATGGAATTAATGTGCATAGTCGCAGGAATACGATTGTTTAACAGAGATTGCCAACGTGGAGGAGAAGGGATTGACGATTGTAAGTCTTTGAAAATGATTAAAATTAATATACTAATAAAAAAATAAATCGTTAACGCAAATTATCTCTTCAGTACCTGCCATTTTGCAAAAAGCTATAAAAAAAAGTCGCGAAATTATTATGGAATTTTTAGAACATTTAATGACAAAAATATACAAATTCACTGCAATTATAGAAAAGATATGTTTTGTAAAAGAATTACCAATTAATATTTTTTCAAAAATGAATATAGAATGGGCAATTGAAATGTTAACAGTATGCCGGCAACAAGAGATTTATATTAGGTATGTTCGATAACAATAATTTAATATCGATAATTAATCATTCTTTTCATCGTAGAAAATTGTTAAGTGACATAGATCGTAGCGAAAAAGAGGTTCAAAATTATCTAGAACGTCTTCAAAAACGCTTCTTTAAACTTCATGACACTGTGAGGTATAAAACTGCGATTCCTAGTACTGAAGTATATGTAAGAAATCATTTTATATATTTTCTTTTTTTTCTGCGAATTTTCCTTTTATAATTGTTTAATTTATCCTTGACTATTCTTCTAGCCACAATTCATCGATTTAACTGATATATGGATGGGACTTCAAGATGAAGTGATTATAATAAGTGGTATTAACAACTTTTTTTGGGAATTTCAAACTTTGACTACAAAGGTAATTGTTCGATATAATTATATACGAATAAAACAACGAAGTAAAAAAATTCAATATATAGCAATATATATATTATAGAATTACGTGAACACATTCAATGAAACATTAATCGTGGATATGCTGTCCGACAGAAAAGTACTTACAGATGCTGAAAGATTAGAATTATCGATGGGTGAATTAATAGGTTATAAAATAAATTGCAAATTAATATTATAATATTAGATAAAAAACTAGATGCTACAAATTAAAAATTTTATTTTAGACGAATGTGGCCAATGTACTATTTATTATCCTAACGATACTGTGGATTTCGAGAACATAAATTTAGAGGTAATATGAAGATATTAAAATTGAAGATTGTACACCAAGATTCATACCAAATATGACTTCTCTAGGTTAATGAATTCGCCATTAGTTTTTAGGATTTTGCGCATGGATGTTTATTAGAAAAGGAGTATTAATCCCGGGAAATCCGAATAATGGTGTCGTTAAATGGAAAGGAAAATATTATGTATTTTGTACGATCGAGGCAGCGAAAGAATTTGGAAAAGATCCTGATAGGTATGTCTTTGTTAAACTAAAAAACTAAACTACAAAAGTATTAAAATATTAGATAAATAAATTTGTCACAGATACGTTTACGAAGGTCTTGATTTTATACGCAATCATTTTGAGTACGTATATTTGTTTCAAGTATATGATGATGTTCGAGCTTTACAAACTCAAGAAATGTAAGTATTTAATAATGATATTAATTTAAATTTAATATAAAATTATTTGATAGAGAATTTTAATTAATAAGGATATCAGAACAAGGTCCCGAGTTAAAAATTTGTAACCATCAAATGGTTCAAACAGATTTGCATATACTTCCATCATTCATCGATAAGAATTATTCTTCGAATATCTGGGAATTAAGAAATAAAGCGTTACATTTAGTAAGTTCTATCAATAAATATAATATAGATTGAATAAAATAGAAAAAAAAGCGACTTCATTCCTTTTTCTAGGCAACAATAAGTCGATATAAAACACGCAGCACTCAAACGCATAAATCCAACTTCAGATACGGTGTTTATGTACAAGCAGCTCCGCCTCGAGACAAAGAAGTTCAAACAAGAAGAGATAATTACACGAATACAAAGAAACTCTTAACTTATATCTTTGGTCTACGGGGGAGGAACGATGATAATCAACATGTACTATCTTTCTTGGAAACCGAACTGAAACACTTATGAATAATATATCATATATAAATTTTGCATTAACCTTAAAGGATGTATTGGATAGGTGTCCGAAGGTATTCACGATAGAATGAAGCTACAAAGAGCACTCTTAAAAAAAAATGAAAGCAATATCTTTTTAATGATGTTTTCAAATACATTCACGAAATATCTTGGCATAACCTGTACTTTTTTTTTCATTTAGAAAACAAACTGGTATTATTATAATTTACTTCGTAACACGCGTAATATTTTCATTATCGTCAAATGTTTGCAATGATTTCTTCGTGGCTTCCATTAATTTAGGCCAGCATTCATTAATTTATATTCAAAATACACAAATTTTTCCATACAACGAGATGTGTATATCCACACTAGGATTCCGCATCTCGCATCATCAATCTATCTTACTTTCTACAATTCAACATTGCGCAATGCTGCGCATACTGTGATCTTTAATATGCATGCATCATACTTTTACTGAATACATCACTTTACCATTAAATCTTAAGAGTTAGGTCAATTTTTTACACCAAGAAACCTATATTACGACAATAATTAGTAATTACACGATAATACAATTAAATTTCGCTTAATAATAATTTCAGTGTATAATGTAACAATTATACAGAAGAGGTACAGGATGTTGATTTTTCGCATCGTCGTTCTCTTAATTCTTATCATACTTTTTTTTTAACTTACCACATATCTTTTCCCATTCTCTCTTTCTCTCCTTTGTTTGAAAAATTGTCCCTTTGTTACATCCATTTTCAGAAAGTAACCAATATTAAAATAAAAAGATGAAAATATCGTGTGATTTTTGGGCGGCAATAGTGATTTAGAAAAAAAAAAAAAAGAAAAAAAAATTAGAAAAAAAAATTAAGCATTACCGCAATCAGCTATCATCATTAATATTTTTTTATTTAATCTAAGTATTTAATCTACTTCAATTTTTAACTGTCACGTAATAAAATAAAAAAAAAAACAAAATTCATTTTAAAAAAATTTAAAACAGTTTTTACTGCTTCACTTTTTACTGCCACAATGGCACACCGTATTTTCATGCTTGGTGAAAAAGGATTGTTTACAAGAACCACCAGGCAAACGATAAAACATTAACTTTGAATACATTGACTTAAAACCAGCTTATTGACTATTGGCCATTTTAATGTTTTCCACATTTCGAAATCATCCGCACGTCCATGGTATCAACCCTTCCTTTTTATATCATCGTGACATTGATCAAATCTATATAGATTTCTACTTGTGGGTCATCATTTGCATACACATTTTGGGCAGCTTTTAACAATGTTAACGAGCCGCGCTTTTAATAATGCCCATAAATTAAGATGCTACATCGCGAATATAAGATTATATTCAATAAGATAAAGCAGCTACCATGGACAACAGAATTTATCGGAATGATGTAAACATGGCTAAAGTCTTAAGTCGCAAGAAATATGTTTGTGTTTGTATGTATGTATATTTATGTATCGTGTGAGAAAGATGGAAAGATGCACTTTGCATCTTGGAATACGTTATACAATGTTTATAACCTGTTAGAATTCGTGGTTCGAGGATGATTTAATCTACAAAGTGATTTTTGAGGTACTTCATCATACCAAAAGTTCTAAAACGTTTTACTCCAATTACTTTCAATAATTCATCATCGCAGAGTGCATATTGCTTATTTTTAGGATCCTATAAAATAATAAAATATATTAAAATGTTGAAAATAAAATAAGAAAATAACATATAGTTTAATACTTACATAAAGATTCCTTTCTTTAATGATACTCCAAATCTTTTTCACAACTTCATGTCGAGCCATTTGTTCAGCACCAACAACAGCAGCAAGTTCCGGAGATAATGTGATAGCACGAGTATATCCGCCTTTAGCTTTACCTCCACCACCTTTCTTTGCTCCTCCACCTTGAGCTTTCTTAACTTTACCCCAATCTTCATCACTGTCGCTGTCACTACCCTTCTTTTTTCCCTTCTTGCCAGGCTTATCTATTAAAAATATTATTAAAAAATAAAAGGATCAAAGAGGAACAAACATATATATATATATTTTAAATTTATTTACTTTTTTTAGGTGTTGCCTTTGGTTTCTTTGGATTATATTCTTCATCACTAGCATCATCATCACTTGCACTTTCTTCATCATCAGAAGATCCTTTCTTACGTTTATTAATTTGTTTCTTTGCAGGACTCCTTTTGGCTGGCTTTTTTTCTTCTTCCTCTTCTTCTTCTTCTGATCCTTCTTCTTCCTCTTCTTCACCATCTTCAGATTCTTCACTAGCGGTCTTCTTCTTTTTCTTTGCTCCATCTTGTTTTTCTTGTAAACACTCCATGACTAAATTGTCTACTTCCTTTTTCCTGTACATAAATTTACCATAAAATTTATCACTACATAAATACAAAATAATACAAAATAAAACTTATAAATGAAATTATATTTAATAATTAAACAAAATGTTGAAGGTGGAACGAGGTGAAAACTTAAAAGAATAGTTTCACACAGAGAACCTTGCTTTTATTTCGGATACAGATAATCTCACTCTTGATTCATTTTAATTACAAGAGCGCCTGCTGTATCCAAAAACATATATCCTCCTTTTTTCTATTTCTTTATTATAAATATAAAATAAAATAAGAAATTTATTCATATCGAATGTTGATGATAATTTATATAAGCTCTTACCTTTCAGTAAGGTCTATATCAAGTTTTCCTTCAATTTGTAGCCTTACTTTCTTAGCTGACATAGTAGTAAGATCTGCATCCTTAAGGATAGCTAAACATAAAAATATATTTCCATTTCATGCAAAAAATTTTCTTAGCTTGAATATTTGAAATTTAACTAAAAATAGACAGTTTATTCGTATAAATTTTAACTTTAATTTATTTTCATACTTAATATATGAAATGTTATAAAATACAAGAAATGATAATGCTATTAATAAAAGATAATGTTTATATAATAGTATAAATCAATTAGAATTTAAAACGTATAATATCAGATAAAATTTAGAATAATGTAAGTTTCCCGCGCCAGAATACTAGTAAATATTGAACGAAAATGGCCGCTATTCATCGTGCCGGTTGCCAATTTTTATAAAAAAAAAAAAAAAAAAAAAAAAAAAAAATTTCTGAAAGTAAACTTCTTGGAGAAAATATAATAAATTAATTGAGTTTATAAAACTGCTTTCTTTGCATCAGTGGATCGATCGTAAAATACATTGGACCTTGGAATGACGAAAAATAGCTAAAAGTTCAACCATATATAAACGATGAAAGTTCATACAGATCGGTATAATTAGCAGTTTATGCGAAAATTCAAGACAAGCGATTGAATATAAAAACTTAAAATTAAGGAAAAAATATTAATAAAGTATAAACATCATGTCCATTTTGAGGCGGCGGGAAAGGTAAAAACTAGTGAATATTCGTGGCAACAAAATACGCCGTAACTGCAACTGTAACAAGCGTGTAAAATTCGAGGGACGAGGCTATATTTGGATTGGTAAAACAAAAGAAAAAAGCAGAATCCGTTGAAATATTCTAGAAAATGAGGGCACGGTCCATGTTAAGATCACTTTTCATGGTGCAAAAGTCGTTGAAGACAAGAGAAAGAGCGAGATATGAAGCATGCGATGGCTTCAGGCGCGCGCCACCACAGTTAGACGCGTCATACAGCATACTATAGAACAGAATATAGGGAAAGCGTTCATTTCTAGAAAACCAAGGAAAAATCAAAATTTTTCCAAGACATCAAAAAATTATATAAAAAATTCAATAGTAGATTACACGAAACGGCTAGGCGATACAATATTCCGATAAAGCTGTACGTAAGTGAAAATATGATGAATCGTGGTTGTAATGGCCGGCGTGGGGCACGCCACTTCGTCACATACGTGCGCGTTAAAGTCGTCACGTCGCAAGAGCAAAGAGCCTGATTTCCTACATATTCCTACTCACAAACGTACGAATAATTTGAGCCATGAATGGTTACTAACTTAATTTTGTTATATTCGTAGGCCAAAGTTCGGTAAATCGAAGGATATTGCTACTTACCGGTGATTTCTTTACGAAGTTCTTCGTTCGAAATATCAGCCATGGTCGTCTTTCTCGCTGTGCGTACTGCTGCCAACTGAACCTATGCCGGCTGCGGACTCCCGTAGCGTCCGTTGGTACAGTCACTCTATACAGTGAGTCGAAAATACGTTAACTTTATGAGACTTTAAATACGGATATCTTGGCAGGGATACGTTAAAAATGAATACTATATACACCAAATCGTGTTAGTTTTTTATGATCTACAAGTTTCTCATGACGCCCTACTCATAATTTTGCGATCGGATGACCCTATTTTGATGTTTCGCCAATGCGTTCACAAATATTTTTTGGTAGTGATTGTACTAAGCGACCGCTCGTGGCTGCCGGTGGCGTCTATGGTACAGTCGACTCACATACCTAGTACTATTACTTCCAGATAATATATTTTCAATAATATAATAAGGTTTTTCGATATTTTGAAAGAACATTACACATATTATATTTAAAAATTTTTTTTTTGTTTACAAATTTCTTATACCGTTTTATATTCAATAATGAGTATAATTTAACAGATTGAAATATAATTTTTCATGATCCTTCGAACTGTTTTATCGAAATGGACTGTACAAAGCGACCACTTCTGGATTCATAGCGTCGGGCATATAGTCGCATCATATGACAATCAGTATACATTCTAGAGATATGTTAAAAAAAAATTAATAGTTCAGTAAATATCAGTCATGATTCTATTTTCATTGAATGAAACTACATAGAATACGATGTTGTCTTTATTATTAAAGATTTATATTATTTTATATCTTTCGTATCATCTATATTATGGATTTCATTATCTTTATCTATAACAATTATGATATTCTGTCTATGAAACAAAGAATTTTATATATTGAAGTATATAATGATTTGAAGTAATCTGTATTTGCTTATATATGCAACTAGTTTATGTAACAAATATGTATTTATCATATCTAAAAATTGATACATTCACGTGTAATTGCATCCAATCAGTGCGATATTTTAATAGGCCGCGACTGTCGAAGCGACCACTCGGTTTCTTCCTCGCTTTAGCGGTACAGTAACCACCAACATACTTGAAAGGATGTTCTGAATAAATGATCTTTGAAAATTCATAACTTTATAATCATTAATCCTAGAAAGATGTTGTATTTACAAAATCGTATCAGTTTTTTATAAGGAAAATGTTTCTTGAGAAGCGCCTTGTGCGATCTTATCATTTAACACATGTAAGTAGAAATTATGGCTGCTCTGATGTACATACTTTTGTAGATAACTATACCCAATCTGGCAGGTTCATTGAAAGATAAATTTCTCAATAAAATTTTATATAAATTTATTTCAAAAATGATATAAGAATAAATTTAATTTTTTTTTTAAATGATCTATGTGTTTAAATCTTTTTATTTAATCCTAAAAAATATATTTACTAATGACACGTCAAATGTAATGCCGCCACGGTGTTTGAACGCTTTAAAATGGCGGTTTCATTTTTCGCGTAATCATTTAAGAACATTAATTTGTTATCAAACATTTATTCAATTGCACTATCGTAATGAATTTTTTTTATCGTATGACATTTCGATAAATTTGTATGAATATTTTGCATAATAATTTTAATTCTTTACACACACATTGATAATGTTATGAACTTTCGCCAAAAGTATATCATTTTCCCTCTCAATGTTCTATTACTTCCGGTAAAATGACAACACTGTTTTACTTATTAAAAAAAATTATTTGTTTTTCTGTTATACGCATTGATAAAATATTCTATAATGTTATAAGGAAATGAGTTTTAATAAATGGATAAACATCTTATCGTGTGTTTGTTTTGTATGCAACTCAGGTTACGATTGCAAAATTGTCTTGGAAATATTGATATTTTCACACTATAGATATGTTTACCCTGCCATCTAGCGTTACATTATGAATTTTGGTTTTATTAGCAGATAAAGACACAGACAAAGCATAGAATAGATCAATCACTCAATGCATTTTTTTGCTTAACATCTCGAAGGGATTTCAACAGTTTCTTTACCATTTTAGTGTCATGCTCAATGTTACCGATCCAGCATAGAATAAGATTACAACATTAGTAGCGGTTAGAATTGAAACTAAATTTTTATGTAATATTGCAAATAAAATATAGAACAATATACACATATATTATAGAAGAAGTTTTTATATAAAATTATAAATAAAATATTGCTTTAGAATATCAAAGAAAAATTTAAATTTAAATGAATTAATGTCTACTTTAAAATATACAACATATCTAATAATGAGAAAAATAATAAATTCAATAATTTATAAAATATGTTTTTAATACATTCTATCAAATATTCAGATAAGTACTTTTCTACAAGATACATTTTTTTTAATTGTCCATTTATACATTTATATAAGTATTATGTCATAAAATAAAATACTTAGCGATATCAAAGACAGAAATGCTTCAAATAAATTATAACATAATCAAGTAGTTACCTGCGGTTGAAATATTAATATATATATTTAATAAACTATTTGCTTTGCATGTTTTATCTAAAAAATAGAAAGAAGTTCAAGTTATAATGAAAAAAGAATACAACAAATAATTAAGATAGATCATTTTATTATTTTGCATATTTATAAAGTTCAAAAAGCTCATCAATAATAGATAATACTAATGAATAATAGAATAAATATATTTCCAGATTCTGAACAAAGTCCAAAGTAATTTATTATGAAAATATAAGTATAACTATCATAATTATAAATATAGATTTCTATATTAATCGATTTATCAGTTTAATTAACAAACTTACTATTTAGATTTGACATTAGGAAAAATTTTATTCCAATTTATTTTAGACGATATATAATAGAAATGTGAATTTTATAAGAAAAGGAAATGTATATTACAGTCTGACTGTGATAAAAATAAAGAATTTATAATAATATATTAAGTCTCTTTAATATCTTCTCTATCTAATCTCCAATATCTACATTATAAAAAAATATTAAAATAAAAATATAAAATAAATAAAATATTAAAATAAATAAAAACAGAAATAAAATATTGCTAGGATATTGCGTTAAGATGTTG